CACTGGGGGAAGCCACGGCCGGAGTCTGGAGCAGGAACCAGAACAGAGAACATGGAGAAAGCTGCTGACTGTCTTCCTCTGCTGCTTTGCTTAGGCAGCACAGGCCCATCTCCCCAGGCACGGCACCACCCACAGTGTTTTGGCCCTCCTGCATCAATTAGCAATTAGGAAAATGCCTCACAGACGTGCCCAGGGAGCCATCTGACAGGCAGCATCTCAAGTTGACAAGCAAGATCAGCTGTCATGAGCCCACTCACGCCTCGTCAACCTGACATGCAAACCTAATCATGATTAAATAATAACTTTCCCTTTTTGGTTTGTATTCAGGATCTCATGTTAATATTAATACCAAAATATAAAACACAACCCCATCAGTTTAAAAAAAATCCAAATTCTCATTGAAAGAAATCCAAAAATCTATTAACTGTGGGTAACTAGAAAAATCAAAATAAGTTGTATACTTTTTTTGGTTTTTTGGGACAGGGTTTCTCTGTGTAGCTTTATGCCTTTCCTGGAACTCGCTTTGTAGACCAGGCTAGCCTCGAACTCACAGAGATCTGCCTGCCTCTGCCTCCCGAGTGCTGGGATTAAAAGGCATGTGCCACCATCGTCCAGCAGTTGTATGCTTCTTAATCCAAGAAGGAAGAAGCAGGCCACAAATATAATCAGAGCAAAGCAAAACTCAGATCCAACAGTGTACAAATGCTTCCTGTCTGATACCTTTGAAGAGATTCGCCCCGGACTTCTGAACTCTGATGGGCATGGGTAGCCCTACCTCTCCAGTTCTGCCATCCGCAGTACACACAGCTTGTCTCCTCGGCTCAGTCCAGCTCCACCCCACAACTACCTCTGCTCTCGATGGTCACCCATGGTCCAAGCATCTCCAATCTGCTGGAGTCTCCGTTGCAGCTGAGGCTGCACCTTCAGCAATGGCCTCCCGGCCTCTCTCTTCAGAAACTAACCTTGCCACATGGCACCAAGCCTCAGCTGCTCTCCAAGACCACTTCAGTCCTGGACCTTCTGCTGCAACTGAGTCTGCCCCTTTACCAGTGGCATCCCCTGGCCTCTCATAGTGCCAGGCCTCCGCTGCTCTCCATGACCCCTTCGTTCCTTCAGAACCAACACCATGTAAAAGATTCTTTGACATTGCTGAATTCGACTTCCAGCTTGAGCTGCAGCCTTGGCTCCCTGGACCTCGTCTTGTGTGTTCTGACCCTGAGGAGATATTTCCCAGAAGATTTCACCACAGTGGTGCTAGTCTCAGTCATTGTCTGTGTAAAGCAAAGGTTTCCCTTCACAGATTCTTATTTCAAAATACCACACAAGTGGCTTGGATAGTCTTTGAGGGGTCTCCCACTTCCCTCTGGAGCTTCACAAGGCAGGCCTCCATCACAGGTGCCGCTTTCAGCCTTCTTGACTTCCAGCTCCCACAGAACAGCCCATTCAGCCCCAAGTTCCCAAATCCTTCATCTTCCTCCCGTAAAACATCAGGTTCATCAGAGCAACAGCCCACTGCCCAGTGCCAGCTTCTGCTCAGTCATTTCTGACCCCGGGCTAAAACACTGATTAGAGGGGCTGGAGGGATGGCTCGGCGGTTAAGAGCACTGGCTGTAGAGGTCCTGAGTTCAATTCCCAGCAACCACATGGTGGCTCACAACCATCTGTAATGAGATCTGGGCCCTCCTCTGGCCTGCAGGCATACATGCAGGCAGAACACTGTATACATAATAAATAAAATAAAAACAAAACAAAACAAAAGAACACTGATTAGAACCAGCTTAGGGGAAGAAACATTTGGCTTACAGGTCACAGTCTGTCCTTGAGGGAAAGCAAGGCAGGAACTGAACCAGAGACCACGTGGGAACACTGTTCCCCTGACTTGCTCAGCTGCCTTTCTTAGACAGCCCAGGCCCACCTCCGCTGGATGGTACCTTCCACGGTGGGCTGGGCCCTCCTGCATCAATCAGCAGTTAAGAAAATAGCCCCATAGACATGTCCATGGGACAAGCTGATGAAGACATTCAGTTGAGGTTTCCTCTTCCCAGGTGTGTCAAATTGATAGTCAAGATTAGTGTTTGGTTGTGAAGGTAGGCCTTTCTGGAAGTACTGATGGAGGTTGGCAGTTACTATTTCAGAACGTGGAACACACAATTGCTTGCCCTTAAATTTTAGTGTTTCTCTTGAGAAGTCTGCTGCATTCTGATGGCTTTGCCTATATGACTTAGTACTCATCTCTTGTAGTTTCCAGTATTCTTTCTTTGTTCAGGATGCTATAATGTGATTTGGTGAAGTCCTTTTCTGGTCATGCCTGTTTGGCATTCTGAATATTTTCTACATGGAGATGGCTATCTTTGTCCCTTGATTTCAGAAAATTCTACTACGATTAAAAATTTTTTAAGATTTATTTTATGTATATGAACATTTTGTTTGCATGCATGTATGTGTCCCACGTGTATGCCTGGTTTTCACAGAGGTCAGAAGAAGGCATCAGATCCCCTGGAACTGGAGTTACATGTGGTTGTGAACCACCATGTGGTGCTGGGAACTGGATCCAGTCCTCTGCAAAAGCAACAAGTGCTCTTAACTGCTGAACCATCTCTCTAGTGTCCCCTGATAGAACTTTTTTCCCTGCTATAACTTTATTGACTATATTCTCATTCTCTTTCATTCTCTCTCTCTCTCTCTCTCTCTCTCTCTCTCTCTCTCTCTCTCTCTCTCTCTCTGTCTCTGTGTGTGTATGTGTGTGCGTGTGCATGCACACACACATTTATGAGGTCCAGAAGTCCATCTGGTGTGTTTTCCTCAGTCTCCCACCTTGTGTGTTTGAGGCACAGTCTCTCATTGAACCCGAAACTTGTCAGTGGGCTAGACTGGAAGACCAGTGAGCTGCAAGGATCTGTGCTTGTCCCACGTTCCGGGGTTATAGAAGCATCTGCTGCACCTGACTTTGACGTGGATGCTAGGCATCTAAAATCAGTTCTGTGTTCCAGCTGATACCAACTGTTTGCCTACATGGCAGATACTTTATTGATTGATCCATCTCCTCTGCCTTGTATATATTTTCTGTGTCCTTAGTTTTCTTTTTCTTTTGTGTGTATGATGTATAACTTTGTTCTTGTAATGTGTCCTGTAGATCTTCCATGTTCTATTCCTACTTTGTTGTTTTATTTTCATTCCTGTCTGAATGTTTGAAGTCACCCCCCACCACCCCTTTCTCAGACCCTGAGATTGTCTGCTACTTGATCTGTTTGTGAGGTGCTCTACTGAGTCTTGATTTGTTGAGCTCTTCATTTCTAAAATCCTGATTAGATCTTTTTCAGTATTTCTTACCACGGGTGAATTCCTCATTCCTATCCAATGCCATCCTCCTTGTTTCATTTAGCCTTTAATTTGTATTGCTTTAAAAAAATTTTTTTATTTTATTTTATGTGCATTGGTGTTTTGCCTGCCTGAGTATCTGTGTGAGGGTGTCAGACCTTGGAGTTACAGACAGTTGTGAGCTGCCATGTGGTTGCTGGGAATTGAACCCTGGTCCTCTGGAGGAGCAGTCAGTGCTCTCAGCCTCAGAGCCATCTCTCCATCCCTTGTATTGCTTTTTAATTCACTCAAGACTTTGTGTTCTTTGATTTCATTGAACATTCTTGTGATCATTCTTTTGAGTTCTTTGTTGTTTTGTCTTATTCACTCTCGGTGGAATCCATTATTGTGGAATTAGTATACCATGCTGTTCTATACTTGCTCTTTGCATTTATCTATGTAGTATGGCTATGTTTGGCCAAAGTGTTCCCACAGAGAAAGGCACAAATTGAAAAGCAGTGTTCTGATTGCTTTCTGTCCCTGTGATAAACACCACAACCAAAGCAACTTGGAGGGGAAAGGGTTCATTTCATCTCACACGTCCAGATCATAGTCCATGACTGAGGGAGGGCAGGGTAGGAGTACAAGGCAGGAACTAATCAGAGGCTATGGAGGAGTGCTGCTTACTGGCTCGCTGGCTCTGGTTCTTGCTGAGCTTGCTCAATGCCTTCCTTCCTTTTTTCTCTTCTTTTTTTGAGATTTTATTTCTACTTATTTTCTGTGTGCGTTCAGTGCCTGGGGAGTCCAAAAGACAGTATCACATCCTTTGGGGCTGGACTTACTGTGAGCTGCCAGTCATGTGGGTGCTTGGAATTAAAACCTGGTCCTTTGGAAGAGCAGCCAGTGCTCTTAACTGCTGAGCCTTCTCTTCAGCCCTTTAACCAGCTTTCTTAGACAGCCCAGACCCACCTGTCTAGGGACCGTGCCACCAACAATGGACTGGGTTCTCCCATATCAGTCATCAATCAAGAAAATGCCCCACAGACGAGCCCACAGATGAGTCTGATCTAGGCAGTTCTTCAGTTGAGATTCCCTCTTCCCAGGGGACTCCAGTTTGTGTCAAATTGACAGTAGAAACTAAGCAGTGCAGGCAGAGTGATAAGAGAATCCCAGAAGAGAGAGTTTCAAAGCGAAAGTGTAGCCAAAAAGGTCAAGGGAGTTCAAGGAGATGACGTGTGGAATTCTTAGATTTGACAGATGTGGATCCTAGAAAATGGGTAATTAACAAGGGTTAAGATGTTAGTCTCGCCACGACTCAGGTTGGTTTCCACAGACAAACTCACCCTGCACCAGAGATGAAGCTAGGATTCTAGCTAAAGAAGGCATGAGAGTCTATAGGGAGCTTGGGGAGACTGTACTCTTCTGCCCACCCCTGGCTCCCATGGCCAGAATCCAGAATTTCCTAAAGCATCCACTGCCTGCCTACAAATCTTAAGAGTGGTTAAAAATGAACCCTAATTCTGATTTCCAGTATGGGATCATTCTAACTTTGCTAATTGGCAATGTGACCCCTAAATTAAGGCACAAAGCAGTGTCTCTTGAAGTACACTGTGGAAGCTCATGATGGTATCGAGCCTTGGGTCTACCAGTAGCTCACTAAGTGCACCATTAGAAAAAGCCCCTGTCTTTTCTGTTGACTGCAGGAACTTGTGTCCCTGAAGCCCTGTAAAGCTGCTGAGCTGGTTGCTACTCACTTTTCTGGACAGATCGAAGTAGTCATTGGACAGCTTCAGGTAAGGACTGTGAGCATATGATGGAAAAGAGCTTCTTTGGCTGAGGGCTTCTGATTGTAGTTATTGCCTAAATTCATAGTTGCCAGTTGATAGTAATTTTATGATGTGCCATGTGTGGTGTGTATCTGGTGTGTGTGTTGTATATGTGGTGTGTGATGTGTATGCGTTGTGGGGGTGGGAGTAGCTGTGTATTAATCTTTGAGTATTGAAATAAAGGAGTTCATTTTGGATAACAAATACTGATATTAAAGAAACATCTTTGAAGCTCTAAACTACACTAGTCTAGAAATCATAACCCGTAGAAGATCCACCCGTTTTCTTTAGCTGTAGGACCCACAACCCTATTCTATTGATGGTTCATGTTGCTTATGCACTTTGCCACCTTCAAGCTGAACCAGTGGTAATGTTGTAGAGTTTCTCAAGGAACAGCTTCGCTAGACATGGCTGCATTCATGGAGAATGCTGAGGAGCTCTGTGTTGTGTGAGAATCTGCTGTTGTTCCGTGTTTACCACCGCAGCGCCATGGCTGATGACCATGATGGTCAACGAGAGCTAGGCAGTAGGACAGCACAGGGGGCATGAAGTACCACCCACAGTCCTCCGATGCAGTAGCAGTGGTCCGGAATAACTGCAGAAAGGCAAAATGAAAGCTTGAGCAAGCTGGGAGTGATGGGAGACAGAGGTGGGATTCATTCATTCACCCCCACTCTGTACCTGCAACACTCAGCGGTAGGCTTCCAGGAACACAGATGCACTCATGTGGCTGTAGTGTAATGCTGTGGAGCTGTGCTACAAATCCACCCAAGGGACCATGGGAACGAGAGAAGATGGATGGATGGGGAGGGGTGAGGAAACAGCTCCCAAAGCTGCCAGAACTAGGACAGGAGTCTGATTTGCAAACCAAATCGGGAAAGACTTTCTTGATAAGAAGGGCTCTGGTGTGGAAAGACGGAAAGGCACGGCACAGCTCTTGTGTTCAGAGGCTGGGCAACTCTGTAGGAAACAGGAGGTAGATGGCGTGGTGGGGGAAGCGGTGGCGGAAGCGGCTTCAGTGCAGTGAGAAGCAGTGTTTTAGAAGGAGTGAGCTATGACAATAGAGCCCAGAAAATATAGATGGGGCTTGAGCTGATTGTGATGTTAAGAAATTTATATTTCTCTTGTGTTGGAGGACTACCAGTGGTTTACCCAAAGGCTGGTATCATTAGATCCACTTTATAGAAAATTAACTGTGGCAAAGAGCACACACGGAGCCATAAGCACCTGAAAGGCAGAGGGCCAGGCAGAAAGGTGGTGACCAGGACAAAGTCAGTGGCAGTTGGGGGAATAGGTTCCAGATGCATTTGTGCACTTAGAAAGGAGCTCAGTATGGTGGGAAGATTTTCAGTTGTTCGAGGTTATCCCATAATAGGTCTACTACCTAGCTCAGAGATCCATCCATCAATTCAGTCAGTGTTGATGCTGCGGCCAGAAACTTCAAATGCAGAGGAGGACATACAAAAGCTGTGTGGGAATGAGGGAAACTTGTGTGTGATTTCTGCTCACAAGGACGAAGACGGACCAAACGGCAGTTACAGAATGGTTGGGCTAAAGTGACGCTGGAGCCCAGGGAAGGACCCACGGCCAGGCTGTGGCGGTAATAACTGGGCTGGAATGATACTGGAGCCCAGGGAAGGACCCACGGCCAGGCTGTGGCGGTAATAACTGGGCTGGAATGATACTGGAGCCCAGGGAAGGACCCACGGCCAGGCTGTGGCGGTAATAACTGGGCTGGAATGATACTGGAGCCCAGGGAAGGACCCACGGCCAGGCTGTGGCGGTAATAACTGGGCTGGAATGATACTGGAGCCCAGGGAAGGACCCACGGCCAGGCTGTGGTGGTAATAACTGGGCTGAAATGATGCTGGAGTCCGGGGAAGGGCACACGGCCAGACTATGGGGGCGGCAAATGCTCCTGTTCACGCTGCTCAAGCCCAGAGCTTCTCTCCTCTTTAAAAAGCAGGTCTGCTAAGTCTTGCTTGTTCTGGTGCTTCTGGGACTGTCTTTGAAAATGTAAAATTAACAATGACAGGATCCCACCCATAAGAAGAGACAGAGAGGCTGTTGAGTGAATATGATTCATCAGTCAAATAAATAAAAGCTGGGGAAAAGAAAAAGGCGACTGTTTGATCGTGGCTTGTTTGTTGAGTCCTACGCAGTTCTTTTAAAGAAATTGTATTTTACTGCCAAGTTCTAATGATCATATAAACCCCACACAGATCTTATGTAGTTCCTTTACTTTTAATGCAATTTGCTTCTGAAGAATAGTCCCTAGAACTCTTGGAATGAAAAATTAGCCAGAATATTAAGTTATAACCAGGAGGAAGTCATGTAAAATAAAATAAAGCAATATAGAGAAGACAGGATATGAAGACTGATGGAGACTAATGACTATATATGAGTCAGTCTTTTTAAAAACTAGCATATATTTCTATCCTTGCATATACACATGAATAAATACGTGTGTGTGTGTGTGTGTGTGTGTGTGTGTGTGTGTGTGTGTGTGTGTTTGTTTGTGTGTGAGCGTGTGAGCGTGCCTTTCCGGTGTGAGATCAAACCTTAGGTCTTGTGCATGCTAGGCATGGATTCTATCTCTGAGCTACATCCCTAGCCATAAATATATTTAAAAATCATATTGAAAATTATATTCTTTTCACTTTGGATGCTCCCTGCTTGTTACAGAAGAAATTTGAATACATAGAAAAAAATTAAAAACTTATTTTTGCTTAGGCTTCAGAACTTTGAAACTATAAATATGTGGTATAAGAAGTTTAATCTCATTTAATTGTCACTGCTGTACGACAAAGGCAGGGGACGTACAGCCGGGGTTTGGAGCTGATGATAGTAGCCACAGAGCAGTTTTGTTTTGTTTTCATGTAAGGAAACTGAACACTGAGTCACATAGTCATATAGCTAATGAATATTGGAAATAGAACCCAGATTTTCTGGTGTACTAATGGCTAACACTTTGAAGTTGTGATTGATTTGTTGCAGAGATGATAAGTGGGTTTTGGAAGTCATTGTTAATTTGGACCGTAAATATTCCCCCAGTCCCCCCACCATTAGTTGTCTCACAGCAGGCCCTGTGAGAGGCAGAGGGCAGGCGAGCCAGGTTGAGACTATCTACAGCCCAGGTCAACAGCAAGGTCCGAGCACTGGCCGCTTGAGTCCCTTGTGTTGGGGCGAGCTTGCATGGGAATGGTCTTCATTTGAGGTAGTGGTGTGTGTGTGCTTCCACACTCAAGTGGCAGTGACTGGAGCGCTGAGAGTCTGCAACACCAAGGTGGGAACAAGGCTCCATAGCAGCGGTGTCTGCACACTGAAGGTCTGAAGCATCTCACAGCTTTGGAAATTCAGTATTTAATTGTACTTTTCATTTTTCTATTCAGAACCAGGTTTTGCTTTTCAAATTTTTGAGGAGTCTTCTTGACCCAAGGTATGTTAATAAACTTTGACTTTCATAACACACGTGGAAGGATGGAAAGAAAGAGACTGGAGTTAAGACACTGGCCCTTGGCATTCAAACAGTAAAGGAGGTCTTTATTTTTAATATAAGAAGGAGTGATTATAACACAGAAATCTGGAAGCAGATGTGAGATAGTACTTTCCTTTCCATTCAAACGTAAGCATGTATGATGAGTTTTCACTGGTGGAAATAAATAGTAAAGCCCTACATGTAGACTGTCCATTCAGGAAAGAGCCTTTCTATCCTAGGTTCCCGCCTAGTCCTTATTCTGTGGTGTATATGGGGGTAAACATCTAGTTCCCAGCCCATCTGTCAGTTTATTCACCCTCACTTGATATGTTTAGTTTATATTAACTTCCTGGTAGTTTGGGAAGGGCAGTTCAAATATAATTTTCAGTTACTGCTCTAAAAATAACCAAACCACAATGAGACAAACCTCAGGAGTTTGGAATTCGATGGAATTAGCAATAGATATGTGAGTAAATCAGGTCCACATGTGAGATCCTGAATTTAGATTGTGACTGGGTGGAATGTGCTGGGAGTCGAGCGTAATGACAGGTAACATCTTCTGAACAGCTGCCTTTAGTTGTTGTGTGCTGGATTGCATCAAGTACTGGAATACAAAAAGTACTGTGTGCATGCCCTCTCTTCCTCCCCTCTTGTTATCCTCTCTTTCTGGGACAGTTTTGCTCCTACGCTCTTCTCACCCCTACATACGTGATTTATGCAGCTGTCTTAATCTAGCACCCAGGAATAAGAGAAAAACGTGCAATATTTGTCTTTGAGACTTCATTTGCTTAATATGATGCTCTCCAGTTGCATCCATTTTCCTGCAAATGACGTGATATGACTTGTTCTTTGTACTGAAAAAATAGTAGTGTGTATATAAACCACGCTTCCTTGTCCATTCCTCTGTGGATTGACACCTGGATTGGTTCCGTCACAGAGCTGTTGTGAATATGCTACAATAAACGTTAATGTGAAGTGTCTGTGATGTGTTGACTTGGAACTGGGTCACATGGTGTCTGAGATAGGGTTCTACTGCTGTGATACCAAAAAGCAAGTCGGGGAGGAAAGGGTTTATTAGGCTTACACTTCCATATTGCTGTTCATCACTGAAGGAAGTCAGGACAGGAACTCAAGCAGGGCAGGAACCTGGAGGCAGGAGCTGATGCAGAGGCCATGGAGGGGTGCTGCTTACTGGCTTGTTCCTCTTGGCTTGCTCAGCCTGCTTTTTTATAGAACCCAGAACCAACTGCCCACGGATGATACCACTCACATTGAGCTGGGTCCTCCCCCATCAGCTAATTAAGAAAATGCCCTACCGGCTTGCCTACGATCTTATGGAGGCATTTTCTCAGTTGAGGCTCCTTCCTCTCAGATGGCATTAGTTCGCATCAGGGTGACATAAAACTGTCCAGCACACATTGAGGGTGTTTGTAGTGCTTATGTGGCAGGACTAGTTTCTACTCCCCTCAGCAGTGTGTAAGGCTCTCTTGTATCCTCATCCTTGACAGCATTTTCTGTTTCTTGCCGTCCCAATGATTGCCCTTCTAACCAGGACAAGGCAGAAGCTCAATTTAATTTTATTTACATTTCTGTTTCCATATATTTATTCTTCATTTTGAATTCTTTGTACATTCTACATGTGGCTCATCTGTCAGATGTATAGCTAACAGAGCTCTGCCTTTCTATAGGCTGTCTCTTTACTCAATTTGCTGTTTGTTTTGTTGTGCAAAAGGCTTTTTAATTTCAGGAAGTCTGTTTGTCTGTTGTGGTGCTGTTTCCAAGTGACTGGAGTCCCATTCAGAAGGGCTGGCTTACACTGACCTGGCAAGTGTTTTTCCTCCTCTTTCCACTGCCGCCCTTAGTCAGCTTTGACACTAAGGTCCTTTGGAGTTGGTTTTTATGCAGGGTGGATGAGAGGGATCTAGTTTCATTCTTCGACATCCAGATCTCCAGCATCATTTGTTGATAGGTGTCTTTGCTGCAGTGTGTACTTTTGATGCGTTTCTCAAAGATCGGGGGCTGCAGCTGTGTGGGTTACGTGTAGACCCTCCCCCGTCCTGTGCCTTTTTCCGTTTACAGCAGCACCATGCTGTGTTTGCTGCAGTGCTAATGCAGCCTGATACTGGACATGGTGAGAGCACCATCGTTCTTTTCCCTCCAGAGTCTGTCGTCTTGATTATAGCCTCTCTGACTTGTCTGAGGTGGGATCTCAAAGTAGTTTTGATCTGCATTTCCCCAGTGACTAAGAATGTTGAAAACTTTTTAGAATGTTTGTTATCCATTTCTAGTTCTTTTGAGAACTGTTTAGTTCATTGGCCCACTTACTGATTGGCACTTTGCTTTTTTTAATTTTTGCAATTTTAAAAGTATACATTCCAAGTATTAATCCTGTCTGATGTATAGCTGGGAAAGATTTTCTCCCATCTCTAGGCTGTTTTTTCACTCCACTGATGGCTTCTTTTGCTTTTTGATTTCATGTGAAAAATTCTTGGCTGTACTATGTATCAAGATGTTTTCACTATATTTTCTTCCTTCGGTGCCATTGTTTCAGGCTTGAAATGAAGTTCTTTGATCCGCTTTGAATTGGTTTTGCCAGGGTGAGAGATACAGATCAGTTTCGGTTTTCTGCAGGGGAGATCCATTTCTGCCAGCACCATTGGTAAATGGGAAGGCTTTTCTCCATTGTATGTTTTTTGACACCTTTGTCAAAAATGAAGTGTGCATACCTGTGCAGGTTTGTTTCTGGGCCCCTAATGTGTTCTATTGGTCCACATGTCTGTTTTCCTGCCAGTGCCATGCTGTGCGTGACACTCTAGCTCTGCAACATAGAAGTCGGGTACTGTGGGATCTTGGCAGTGCTCTTTCTGCTTAGGATTGCTTTGGGTATCCACAGTCTTTTGTGTTTCCATATGAATTTTAGGGTTTCTTCTGGTTCCGGAGGTCAGTGGAATTTTGATGGACTTACATTGAATCTGCTTTTGACAATATAGTAATTTTTATAACATTAGTTCTATCAGTCCCGAAAGGTGGAAGGTATATTATTAATCTTTTCTTTTTTGGTTAGCTTGACTAAAAGTTTGTTGATTTTTGTCTGTCTTTGTGGCAGACCAGCCCCCAAGTACCACTTTTTTTTTTTTTTTTTTTTTTTTGATTTTTAAAGACAGGGTTTCTCTGTGTAGCTTTGCGCCTTTCCTGGAACTCACTTGGTAGCCCAGGCTGGCCTCGAACTCACAGCGATCCGCCTGGCTCTGCCTCCCGAGTGCTGGGATTAAAGGCGTGCGCCACCACCGCCCGGCCCCAAGTACCACTTTTATAACCAGGGTACTCTTGAGCAGGGAGAAGTGGGAAATATCAGATAGAAAGAGACACCTGGATGACGAGAGGAAAGACAGAAAACACAGGATAGCCTCAGGAGGGCCTGGGTCAAAACCCACCAGCCCAGAACTTTATTCAAAAGGGCTTTTTATAACAATGCCAAGGGACGAGGCAAAAAGACCTCCCCCTTGCTAGGTATAGCCAAGAGTAGACCCTTCCAAACACCTGGTACCCAAGCCCATGGCCCAATCATCCTCTTATGCAGTCCTGCTGGGTACAGCCACTCCGAAATCTCGGTGGGCTCCAACATGTCTTAAAAAAAAAAACAGCAACAGCCGGGCGGTGGTGGCTTATGCCTTTAATCCCAGCACTTGGGAGGGAAAGGCAGGCGGATCTCTGTGAGTTCGAGGCCAGCCTGGTCTACAAAGTAAGTTCCAGGAAAGGCGCAAAGCTACACAGAGAAACCCTGTCTCGAAAATCCAAACCAAAAAAAAAAAAAAAAAAAAAAGGGTAAAAAAACAACCACCAACTCTGTTTCATTGATTCTTTGTCCTTTTATCCTCACTTACATTTCATAGGGCCTTAAGGTACATCATTAAGTTATTTGAGATCTCTCTTGTTACGAACTTCCTTATGAGCAATACATTCCTTTAAAAAATATTCTTTGATGATTTCATATATGCATACAATGTGTTTTTGTCATATCTACCCCATCCAAATCCTTCCAGACCTTCTCTACCAAGTACCCCTTCCTACCTCATGTTCCCTTCTGCTTTTCTTTTTTATTTTTCTTTTGTAAATACTGCCTCCACGTGCACGGGTGTCAGGCCAGCCATCCCCTGGAGCGTGGACAACACACCAGGGTCCACACCTTTGGAGAGAACTGATTCTCCTTCCCCATCAGCCATCAGCTCCTCAGCTGGGGGTGGGGCCTCATACGCCTGTCCCCATCCATGCTGAAAGTTGATTGGCTGGATCATGTGCAAATCTCACTCAGCCAGTCAGAGCTGCCCTGGGATCCTGAGTACAGCAGTAGTCCTGTCATGTTCGGACCTCTCTGGCTTTGCAATCTTTCTGCTCCTCTCTGAGAGTTTCCCTGAGCTGTTGGGTGTGGGGCACTTGGTAGTCATTCATTCTCTGCTCTTTGATCAGTTGTGAGCCTCTGTATTCACTACTATCCAAACCAAAAAAGCTCCTCTGCTGAGGGCCAAGAGCTGCCCTAGTCTGTGGGCACAAGCTTAGGTGTTTAGAAGGCAGTTTGATGCCATGTCCATTAGCAAAATAGTAGTTTCTCCTGTAAGGCCCATGACGTCAGCTACAGGCAGCTGGCCAGTCATGAGCTCCCTTCGGTACAATAGGCATTAAATCCACTCTAAAAGCAGATGCTTACCCTGTGACCACTACTGTACCAATAGGCAGTATTTTACCATGATGGTCAGTCATTATTACAGCTCCAAGAATTCAGTTCTGGGTAAGACCATTTGTGCCTTCTCTTCCCAGTGGTCTGCATAGCACCTTCTGGTACTGTGAAAACTAGCCAGCAGGGAAGCTTCCAGATCAGTACCAGCTTAATTTCTCACTGTGAGCCAGTGTGTGCTAGCAGTCTTCAGCAGACTGATAGGGTTTTCCAGGTATTTTTCCTAGTG